GGTCACACATCGAAGATACGCAGGCTGAAAAGAGCGCGAACATCCCTATATAACTTTTCGATTCCGGTAATCATAATCAAAAAAGTGAGGGGCTCCTGGCCATACTACTAGGAACAAGAAGCTACTGGGGGCTCCTCACATCGCTACTAGGAGCAAGGACGCTACTAGGGGCTCCTGGCCTTGCTACTAGGGGCTCCTGGCCTTACTACTAGGAGCAAGAAGCTACTAGTAGCAAAGGGCATCGCTACTAGGAGCCAGAAGCTTTGCCATTCTTCACTCTTCACCTTCACTTCTCGGCCTCGGGCTTGCTTCGAGGTGGCCGCCATGATTGGAACTCAAATGGGGTCAGCCCATATGGAGAGATTGGTCGGTGACTGAGCTTGGTGCGATGTGGACGAGTTGACCAGTCTCCTGGTCTGGCAGTAGGCACTGTACATGAGCCATGAGAGGCCATGAGAGGCATGAGGCAGCATTATGAGGCACGAGGTTTCAGGATTAGGGTTTGTCTTGCCGAGGCCGGTACATTGGTGGGCGTAGCTCTCATGGATGGAGATGCAGTACGCCCCGCTGTGCCCATACTTCATACTTTAATTGACTTTGGTCCAGCTTTGTCCAAGTTGGCTACCGGGAAGCACATAGTAGAAGCAACCAAGGGATACTGTAGGCATCAAAAACACTTGATGAGCATCGAAAAACTGTCCAGCATAAAAAACGGTGATTAGTAGATTAGCATCAAGCGACATTTTGGTTCCCTGCTCCCCTCGTGTCCTTAATGGGGCAGAATTCCCCAGAGTGGCCGTTAACTCTGCTGACCTGGAATTGTGAACACTGTGGTTGCCAATGAAGTAAACAAAGCACTCGAACGAATGTGAGCTCTGCTACAATGCGCACCTTTTCCACTCTATGATATGGCTGAGTGCTTACACTTGGTCTTTAGCCTTGAGTCGAGTATGATACATTATGTACAAGCTTACAAAAGGAAGATCCTGCAGATCTAACTAAGTGCATTGCATAGATGCGGACCTAAGAAACCAGGGAAAGCAGCAACGCAAGTAGACACAAACTTCCTTCGTGTCGGAGCATGTACATTGCAAAATTGAAACGGAGAAGGATTAATTAATTAAACGGCAGCCCTGAAGTTTGGGATCTCATAGCAACACAGGCATGGTGGCTCAGCCACCAATTATGCGCCATGTCATCTTAGGGTCATCAGAATGTCGATGTATCCATCGCGTGCATTTCACAAAGCTTAAAACCACGGCACTCTTTGTAAAGAGCAAACCTTGGGAGTGTCGATGGTAGGGCTGTTGATGCCAACCTTGCGTCCACCAGTTCTGAGACCATGAGCTTTGAGACCTGGCTCTTCCGTTTGTTTGCAGTCGGCCGCTGTCGGCTTTGCGGCACTGCTGACTCCAAAGTTCTTCCGTAGTTGTGGCTGGTTTCAAACCTGCAGAGGATGGTGATATTTTTCATTGGAATGCTTCAGCTGCTTCGGGCACACATCTAAATTATTCAACATATATTACAGCATCGCTACTAGGAGCAAGGACGCTACTAGGGGCTCCTGGCCTCGCTACTAGGGCGCCAGATGCTCTGAAGGTTTCAGCACAATCCCGCCCTATCGAGGACTTCGTTTCCATCTAATCACTCCACGTTCCTCTGCCACATCGGGCGCACATTTTTGTTGTCGCAAAGGGAGATAGTCGGGAGGCAATCACCTTATCACCTTGATTGACTTTGTGGCTGTTCATTTGAAGCAGGCTGCTTGAAACGACCTTGTAGGTGATTCTCTGGTGACCCTTACCTCTGGCGAGTGCATACGTTAGAGTCTTGGATGGAACCACTCTGGAATGCTGGAGGGCTGGCTTGGACCGCCCGTTCAGTTGATGTTCAATCGCGACAATTGCGAGTGGCGCCTCGTATCACTCAACTGGATTTGGAGGGTCTTCAGTGAAGCCTGAGTTGAGGAGCTTCCAATGTGCATCTTAGTCCACTGCTTTCACTTGCAACTTCTGAAGTCGTATCTGGATGATTTCGGCCACACACAACTCGGAATGTCGAGGAGTGCAGGAGCCAAGAATCTTTTGCAATCTCCATCTGTTGAATCAATTCAGTTCATGTCGACTGAGGGTCTCCTTGTACGATGCAAGAAATTGAGTTGGTGATCTCCGCCGCTCACATGAGAAACAGCCGGTTGTCCTCCTGATGCTTCTCCACACCATCATGCCTCGAGCAAGATGGTCACGTGAGACGTGCTCTGAAACAATCATATAGAAAGGCAGCACTGAGCACCAAATGCTTAAGATCTCAAAGGGACATTGGCCCGCTACTAGTAGCAGGTGCATCGCTATTAGTAACAAGTGCATCGCTTTTAGTAGCTAGAAGCTACTAGTAGCAAGGGCGGGCAGCAAATGCCGGTTGAAGCGAGGCTTATGGTCGATTCCAATAGGCATGAGGAAAGATGGATTACTGTATTTCTGCCTTTGTGCCGGCCTGGCTGCAGACAGCGCGGCTAATGTATATAAAGATATATACACACGCGTATTATTCACCTAGTTTGGAGATACCAGAAAGCTTCCCTCCAACAGTTCCCTTTTGTTCGCTTGGGCATGGGCGAATTCGCAAGTTCTTGGCTCAGCGGGCCGCTTTTAGGACACGCTATGGATGGATATGGTCCGCTTCGTGTCCCAGAACTTCGGTGGCTTTGCGAGCAACGCGGCCTGTCACCATATGGACGAAAAAAGGAGCTGCTTGCCAGACTCGAGGAACAAGATCAAGAAGATCTAGTGCCACATGCCGAATGCATCGCCCCTGGCCTAGAGCCCTTCCGAGAGCTGGAGCAACTGGCAGCAGAGCTCACCCAGAAATTTCCAGCTCAGGTGGGAGGTGCTGTGGATTCTGTACCTCGTGTGGCTCCGGCTCAGGCCAAGTCTGCACCAGCACAACCAAAGGCAGCGAAGGTGTTTGGACTTGTGGGTGGCTCTATCCACTCCCCTCCTCTACCCCTACCCCAACCAGATGGAGTATCAGACGATGAGCGGGTCTTGCGTGGTCTTTTGGAGTTCTTTGCCTGTCCAGATGGCGAAGGTGAACTTTTCAAGCTCAAATACCGAGATTTCGTTCGAAATGTGTCGGAGGTGCTACAGCCTGACCTCCTTCCAAGTACGTCATCGAGCTCCACCGCTGCCACGGCAGTTGCATCAACAGCTGCAGCTGCAGCATGCACAATGGATGTCATTCTCCGCAATGGTAGCAACTTGAAGGACCAAGCCGTGCCAGGTGCAACGAACTCCAAAGGCACTTGGTCTTCAGAGATGTGGAGGAAATGCATGGAATTGATTGAGAATCGTTTTCAAATTTGCCAGCTGCAGCTGAGACATGATTCCCTTAGTGAAGAGCTTGAAAGCCTGAACAAGAAAGCGATGGAGAAGGCGGAGGAACTTCAACAGGCTAAGGAGCAGCTTGACCGGCTCCAGGAACAGGAGGCGCAACAGCGCCAGCAACTTCTCGGTCGAGCGCGGCTTCAATTTGAAGCCTGGCTCGAAAAGACCGAATCGGATGAAGCAGCGGTAGATGGTTGACTTACGAGTGCTGTGCTGGTTGACTTAGAGCTGTAAGCTCCATGGTGGTCGCCCTGTGCCATTGTGCAACTGCACGGCGATGTGCAGCTAGACATAGTTGGGCTTTGACCTTGAAGACGGCGTATTTGTGTGTCCAAAACCTTCGAGGGCAGACGTCTTCAACGAGAAACACACCTTTTATGTGCAACAAATCCTTTTTCATTCATATTGGGTTGGGGTGATGCAGGATTGCATAGATGAGCCACATTGATGAATCGGAGCATGTGCAGTGTGTCGCACGGTGTTCAATTTTCTGCATTTGATTCCAAGGCTCTCTCAAGGGGAGCTTGCTTGAGATGGCTGTTTGACACAAATTTGTATGACTTGATGAAGCTTGGACACACCCTTGTGGAAACACTGGCAACCATTTTTGCCAAAGATAGCAGTATGTTCCTTTTGGGGCATCATATGCAAAAGTCCTCACACACTTTCATCCCTACGCAGGAGGTGCGGCAAGCTGCAGTCCAGGCAATTGTCACGCCGGGCTCTTGATACAACTCTCACTCGGAAGTGGTTTAAATATTCATACGGCTTTCTTTGCTATTTCAAGCGGACATTGGACAAAAGTAGTTGGAATGCGCTTAAGCTAAGGTTCAATGATGATGTGAAAAGAGAGGCAGCACGAGGCCTAATTATGCAAGACTGCAAGACAGGTGAGGACTTGAAACAAACATCCCCAGCGAGTGCAGGCAACCCACCTTGGTTAGTCCATACATGTCGCGGCAATAAGGCTCGACGGATTGCTGAGGAGGGCCTTCGCTATGAGCTCGATCCCCACCAGCGCCATAGGAAAAGCATGTACATCAATAAAAGAAGAAAGTCTGAAATGAGGAAAAGGCAAGAAAGAGAAAAAGAAGGGACACCAAGAAAGGCAAAGAGGTGCAAAGAAGGACACATGTCTTTCTGTTCTTGTAATCGTCCCCCTTCGAGTCCTCATCCTTGCAGTCGCCGACACATGTCCTCACCATGGCACGCCTGAGAGATGCCGAGGTTGGAGTCCCTCCACTGCAGGCAAAGAGCACCATATGCACACAAACGCACACGGTTGTGTGTGTGTATATATATATATATAAATATACACGTTGTTCTTCTATATGCGCCCCTGTGCGCGTGTATGGTTGAATGTCCCCATAACTAAACACGAATCAGTTGGTTATCCCACGTAGCTTTGGGCTCGAACGGGAATGCCCATCTGTGAGAAGTGTGCCAAGTGGCCGCTACTCGCAGACAGGTGTCCAGTTTGCACCTCGGCTGAAAGGTTACTTGCCTCGATCGCCAATCCTCGTATTCCACCCACCTACGAGGCAGAGGCGAAAGTAACCAAGGTACTGGACTCGGCCTTCTATTCGATCTCGAGGTTGGTGCCGGAAGACGACAGTCCGGAAAAGGGAGAAGGATCTCCCAGCCTGAAGAAGGCGGAAAAGGCGAACAAGCCAGTGGAGGAGAGAGGTCGAGGAGAAGGCGCCGGAGGAGACAGCACCAGGGGAGAGGGATCTCCCAAGGGCCATTCGGGCGAAAGGAAGGAGTCCAAGGAGAAGGTGCAGACAGGAGAGCCTGTAAAGTCAGAGGAGGTTGCAAAGAAGGAGGAAAAGGTAAAGGAAGTTCAGCAGAGTGAGGAAAAGAAAGCATTGCCCCGGAGGAGAGAGGAGGATAGGAGCAGAAGGGAGAGATCTAAGACTCCCAACTATCAGAAGGAGAAGGACAAGCGTAAGAAGAGGAAGAAAGAAAGTGGGTCAAGATCAGTCAGTGGCTCAGACGTGAGAAAGAAGAAAAGGGAGGACTTTGACTCCCAGAGAGGAGATAGACGAGAGGACGAGAGCAAGGCCAGGCCCAGCAGTGGGATCCAGCGTGAGGGGTACCTACGTCCCAGGCCTAGCCAGCGAGAGCCAAGATCGCCAAAGACGCCGGATCATCCGCCCCCAAGGGCCACTTCATCTCATCCCGGAGGAGGACGAGGCAGTGGACAAGGAAAGGGTTGGAGAGGCGCTATCCCCTATTCACATCATCCTCGTTGGACGGAAGGCACCAACAAGGGGGTGACGAAGAGGGCTAAGCAGGAGATCTTTGAGAGAAAGCAATACAGAGGGCGTTGGTAAAGGGAGCAATGGCTCCCAAAGTGAGACGGCCTGCAGCAGCACCGGCCCGGGTCAGAGTGGCTCGACGGCCGGCTGGGCGGGTTGCAGAAGAAGAGAAAGGAGAGGATAAGCCTATCACTGAGGAGTACAATGCCTTGACTTCGTTGACACTAGACAGGTTGAGGACGTTGGACATTGTGGAGTTGGGGGAGACTTCGTACTATGGTGCACACGCCAAGGTAGCAGGGAGAATCCGTAGCCTGAACCCTGGTGAGGAGGAGTTGAGCTTTGAGTTGACTGGGACTATGACAGAGCGCATTCTAGAGCGTTTTGGTGGGAGCAGGTCACGGACTGTCAAAGTTCATGTCTGTCCTGCGGGGTGTGCACAGTTGACCACCGGCGACGACTACTTCCACAGTCGAGGCTATTGGGATTGCAGTGTTGCGCCGAAGCCATGGCATACAAACCTGATACCAGCTAAAGGAAAAGAGGATTTGGAGGTGGACGAGCTGGCGGGTTTGAGGGTGCTTGCAATGGAGAGAGGCAAGGGCAAGGGAGGCGACAAACCTCCCAGGGAAGAAGAAGAGGAGAAGGTGAGGAGGAGCAAGTCGCCTACGGGTGAGCCCAAGAAGAAAGACAAGAAGAAGAGGAAAAAGGAAAGAGAGGCTGAAAAAGAATATGATGAGCTCCTGGCCAAGCGTGAAGAGACAGAGGAGCTGGAGCGGGGGCAGAAGACGGCCCGGGCGCTGTTCAGCCACACTTGCCTTGATCCCAACGTCCCAAGGCGAAAGCGGTTGATGAAGAGGGCGCGAAGGGTGAGCAAGAAAAAGGAGAAGAAGCGGAAAAGGTCCGGTTCTAGCGGGTCAGGCTCTTCGACTTCGACCACCTCAGAGGAGAAAGACGATTCGGAGGGGGAAGGACCGCTCTTCGAAGAAACAAGGAGGCTGCGTCGGTTGAGTGAGAAATGCCCGGGGGCCTTGACGGCACAGGCCATCGACAACGTTCGTGAACACCTTTTATCCTCGAGGGGCGAGTTGCACAACATTTCCAGGGAGCAATTGAGTCCGCTTTTCAGTATGTACGCGCACCAGCACTTGCAAGGCTTAGCAAGCCCGGTGATGTGGCAGGAATTGCTGACGGTTGCTCAGGTTACCGATTTGCTGTTGCGAAGAAAGGTGGCCACGGCGATGGACGTGCTCGTCCAACGTGCGAAGTCTCTCGAAGCCACCTTACGAGGTGGCCACTATTCAGTGTCGCGTCAACTGGAGTTGGTGAATGCCGAGCAAATCAGGATTTCGGAACCCGCAGAGCAGGTGGAGGCAGCGAAGAGTGCCCGTGATGAGTTTCGAAACCGCTCGATCGGCAACCGACCTCATGGTTTGAGCCAACGTGGAGAAGGAGAAGCGCATCCCAAAGGTCGAGGAAAGCCAGTCCCTACCTCAGAGCCCTCATATAAGCAGGAAGGAGGAGAGAAAGGAAGAGGGAAGGACAAAGGAAAATGGGGAAAGAAGGCAAAAGACGAGCAATGAGGAGGGAGGCTGAGGTAGAGAAGGCTGGCAACAGGACAGAGGGATGCAGAGTGGGGAAAGACTCCCGTGAAGTGTCAGAGGGCAGGTCAATAGTACAGGATAGGCAAGAAGGTGAGGAGAAAGATATGGAAAGGGCAATTGAAGAGATGCTGAACGAATGTCAGAGGAATGTGCAAGAGGAGGCGGGCAGAAATTATAACCCTGGAGGTTCGTCGAGGAGGCAGAAACGACCGCTTGATGAGCCGGGCTGGGGAAGGGAGGATGGAGGACCCTCCCAGTTTGAAGGATGGAGTAAGCAATCCACAGGTATGGATCGTGGACAGCGCCGTTTTTCTGCTGGAGGAGTTTCCGATAGGAGTACAGGGGAGGGAAACGTTCCCTCCCAGTTTGCATGGCAGCCCACTTCGCGACTGGCTTTGAACCCGTGCCGCGAGGAAGAGGCATTGACAGAGCTTGATGGCCACATGTCATGGCAGGAGACATTGATGAGCGCTTGCGCCAAAAAAGAAAGCTTGTGGGGTGATCTGGGCCCCGCACTATCGAAGTCCCTGGAGGTATTGTCGAAGACCACGCGTTGCGGGCAGTCCACGGAGGGTATCTTTCCTCTCCCACTTCCAGGAAGGCTAGGATGGTGTGAGGACGAGGATCCCTTATTGGACGGTCTGGTCAGAGGGTTGAACAGTTTATTTGGGGTTGGATCAGACAGTGAGAAGAAGGTTTCAAAGGTTCAGAGGAGGATTTTAGAGCGCTTGAGAGTTGTGCTTAAGTCCAGCAGCTTACCCCGCACAGTTCTTCCCCCTCTCACCTTTGGAGAGTTTTTCACCACAAAGGGCATCGACTATTCAGGCGAAGAGGTCCGAGTGGCAAGGTCGTTCCAATGGAAGATGGTCGCCGCGGCTTTCCCGGAGGGTGTAGGTTCTCTGGATTTGTTGGGCTTTTGTGAGGGTGGCACCCGTTCCTACGTGTCCGATTTCGAAAGATTCCTCTTGCCGCCCCAGGATCAAAGCCTGGGAAAGACGCCAGCCACAATGGTGGGCCAAGAGCACTGGGCGGAGGTGTGCCTGGGACTGGTCGATCGGGGGGTTTGTGGACTCATGAAGAGGGATGATCTTTTTCATGTGAAGGGGCGTCCAGTTCTTAATGGATTATTTGCAGTAGAGAAGGGTGAAAGAGCAGTGGATGAAGGAGGCGAAGAATTCGAGGTCTGCCGACTAATCATGAACTTAGTGCCAACCAACGGGCTGTGCCGAAATTTGGTGGGGACACTTCAACCTGCCTACGGTTACAGGGATGTCTGGAACAGTCCTTGCAGATGGGGAGCTGCTCTTGACTTCCTCTGAAGATATAAGGTGTTTCTTTTACCTATTTCGGACACCCCCAGAATGGCACCGCTTCATGGGTTTTGGACGGGAGGTCCCCCCAGAGGGCCTCCCAGCAGGTTACACTGGCAGAGGCTGGCACCTTGTTAGCAGGGTCTTGCCCATGGGGTTCATTAACTCTGTGGCAATCGCACAGCATGTCCACCGTCGGGTGATCCAGCAGGCGCTGGGGGGCGATAGGAGGCTCGCCAGCAGGCAACAAGAAATTCGGAGAGACCGCCAACAAAGCTCGGCAGGGCACCAGTATAGGGTCTATCTCGA